TCCTTTCTCTTCGTTTTATTTTTTCTCCCTTTCTCCTTTTTTTCCTTGAGAAATACACAATGGTTTTAAAATAACATGAAGCCGAATTCAGTTTTATGAGGTTCGTTTCCTTTGCCACCCATAGACTGCGATCATTTTGTTAGAGTTTATTTTGAGTACAATGATTCCCCACCACAGGTTTTTTTTCGAACCCATTTACCCATCTATTTGTTGGGGGTTTGTTTCATAGGGGTGGGTCTATGTATCGGAGGTCAGAGCCTGCGTATCCACCGAACCAGAATCCGCCCGACCGTTTGTCGTCCGTATCTCGGGAAGTCGGTAGTTGAAATAGAGCACCAGTTTGTTCTCTCAGCAAACCATGGAAATTCCGTATAGCTGGGTCCACCAAGACGACTCGACACTTTCCGACAAAAGGCAAGTTGGTATTTGTGAGGCATCGTGGTGGAATCAGGCTCTCGTCATTTTTTGAGCAGGTAGAGTTATTGGTATCGTCTTAAAGCTTGTTCACTTGCCTTTATTAGGATGGAAAAAAAATCAATTTATCTAAAATACAAGTCGAGATATTTGTGAAAGAAGGAGGTGGTGGTCACCTGTTTTCAGAGGTGAAATTAGTGAGAAAATGGCCGCCAAAGATTAGTTATTTCCTTAGCTTAAGAGTCCGTGGTAACTGAAAATTTACATTTTTTGTGCCTTTGATAAACTTTTCTCAGAAAAATCCACACAGAAATGAGTTCTTTGATGGGCATGAAAGGTGTTCAGCCAAAAAACAAAAATTTGAAAAAAAATTCACAAACCTGCTGAAAAATGCAGGTTTCCTTCACTTTGATTATTTTGACGAGAGCCTGATTCCACCACGCTGCCTCACATTTTAATCGGGCCGTGCGGTGACTCGTCAGCCATCGTAGGCCCACCCAGAGCTAAACACAAAAAATTATGAATTTCAATTCGGATAAAAAATCGAATGTTACATTCATAACCAGCGCCTCAAAATGAACAAGGTTTACGAGGAAGCCACATGGTTTAAATGCATATTAACGATTTTACTACTAAAAAAACCCAACCCAACCTATTCATTTTTTATTCCCGCCTTGCGTCCTGTGATCTCTGGTTTACTTGCACAGTCCGATCAGAAGAAATGCCACGGGGTCGTTAGTGCTGTTGAAGCTAGAGAGGTGAGCAGAGTAAGCCTGGTTCCCCGTTTGGACTTCTCTGTTGACATCCACCTCTTGGCGCTCGTATGACCTTATGCAGTGGCCAGCTCCGTAAACCCTTACTAAAACTAATAATAATAAATAGCATATGTATAGCGCATATCCCCGCTCAACAGCAGGCTCTATGCGCTTTACACTATATTATTACCCCAGCAGACCATAGAACACTCTGAAACATTCTCAGCTTCCCGGGAAGCATACAGTGCAAGCAGCTGATTAAAGCGCTCAAACACTAACAAACTGACAAGATCTTTCGCTGTCTATAGCCGGGTCCCCATTCCCACCTGGGTGAAATGAGGAAAATTCGTGTAAAGTGCCTTTCCCAAGGACACGACGTCGGGCCTCTGACGGGATTCGAACCCACGACCTTACGGTTGCGAGTCTGAGAAACTAAAGAGTTACTCACACGCTGGTGGACACGCACACCGGACACGGACAGACTGAACAGCCTCATCCGGACAGGGAATCGGGTCGTTTCTGGTCCGGTTGGACGCGCGGCTTAACACCTCTTTCAACACTTTTTTTTGGGTTAGTAATAATAATAAAATAACATAATAATATATAACATTTATATAGCGCATTTCCAAAAAAGTAGCTCAATGCGCTTTACATTGGAATACCCATTTTTCAAAAACCTTTCTTACTACTTCCTTTCTTCTCATGCAATATACATTAATGCACACACACACACACACACACACACACACACACACACACACACACACACACAGACAAACACACACACACAGAGACTATTTTCATCCAGACATAGGAACAGAACAAATATAATGAAAGATAACGTTAAAAGCTTATGAAGGATAGGCCTGTAGGAACAGAAAATGTTTAAGATGTCTTTTGAAGCTATCAAGTGTTCTTATTTGTCTTAGTTTCATGGGTAATCTGTTCCACATAAATGGACCAAGATATGAGATAGATATGGTTAGTGTTCTACGTCGCTCGCTAACTGCATACGGTCATAACAGCGCGCGGGACACACTTATCATCTTCAGTTAGTAGGACATTTTGAATTTTGCCCGGGTGGTGGCTTAAGCCTACTCTTATCGATTTTCGACAACCAAGGGATCTTTAAAGTGCGCAACTTAAATACTGGACCATCAAGGTTTTTCGCCTTTGTCCGAGAAGGCTAGATGTAGATTTTTCCTGCCATAAGATCAAGGGTGGGGCTGAAAGACAGAATAAGAAGGAGTCAAGGAGTAGCAGTAGAAAAGCCTCAGAAAAAGTCAGGAGCCCAGAGGAAGGGCAAAGGAGGTGACGGGGTGGGGGCAGAAAGTGGAGACGAAAGCAGACGACAGAACATTGTTAGAGAATAAGAAAGGATAAGAAAGGAAAGACAAATTAGAGAAAAAAAAAATTTCCGTCGCTATCCGGATTCGAACCTGGGACCTTTTGAATGAGAGGCGAAAGACCCCCTCAATACGGTCACTAATAGGTTATTTAAAGAAGCAGAACCCTCAAATTTAATGTTCATCCCCGACCACAGAATTCTACAACCTGTGACAGGAGCGGCAGAAAAGGTAAAGTATTTAACTCTTTAAGGGGGGGGGGGGGGGGGGGGGTGGTTTTAATTTGACGATTTTGGGTCAATGTATGGTATCTGGACTTTTTACGTATTATAATACTCCAGTCACGTGTAAATCTAAAGAGTGTTTACTCTTTCTGTTACAAGTGTAGAATTCTGTGTCCCCCAAAAGCCCGGAGCCAAACGAGCTGAAGGTCCTGAAAACTTCTCAAGAAACGACGCCCTTTTAAAAACCCCAAGCAGGGGATTCGAACCGGGGGCGTTTTCTCAATAATTTAGTGCCCCTTCCCCCCCCCCCCCCCCCCCCGGCAGTGCTACTGACTGACGTGTCTTTAGACCATTCCCAAAGGGGGGATATTGACTTGTTCTTATGTACATTGGAATTGTAAATGGGCGGATTAATATAAGGATGTCATACTTGTACAGTGACGGAACAACATAGGGTGAACTGCTGCTTTTCTTTTCTCATCCTTACTATCATTATTTTTCCAATATATTTGTACTTCTTTCGTATGTTAGTCACTTTCTTGTAACCCACTATTTCCGGGGTGCCTTGATAGTCGAAACAGACTTCGCGTTCATGAGGTTAGAGAAATGAGCAGAGTAAGCCTGATTCCTTGTTTGGACTTCTCTATTGACAGAGAAATGGGCAGAGTAAGCCTGATTCCCCGTTTGGACTTCTCTATTGACAGAGAAATGAGAAGAGTAAGCCTGATTCCCCGTTTGGACTTCTCTATTGACATCCACTCTTGGCGCTCATATGGCCTATGCAGTTGCGAGCGCCGTAAAACCTCTACTAAAACAAACAGCGTATGTTGTCATGAAGAAAGTGCTCACGTCCACAACATACGCTGTGGAGAGCGGAGAAGTCGTGTGTGTTACTTCTTATCTTCCCGCCTTTTTTGTGTCTAGACGTCTGTTTATCTCTCTTACTTATTATGCATACTAAACGTCGAGGATTTTGTCAAAGTACGTCTCCTTACTCAGTTGTAGTTTTAGTAAAGAGTTTTACGGCACATGCAACACAAAATAAAGTCATCATATAAAAGCTGAAGATTAGAGGTGTTACAAGAGAGTAATAAACACAAAAAAGAAGGAGGAGTAAAACAGACGATAGATGTTGGATAGGAAAGAAGAAGCAAACCACACCAGAGTGTAATGTTAGTCTACACACACGACTGTAAAACTGGAGAGACGAACACACACGACAGCAAGCATTCTAATAATGAGCCCGGGTGTAGTGTCTGACTTTTTATGTAGATCCCCGAAGTGAGTAACATTAACCAAGAGCCCATGGCATACGGGGCGCTTACGTCCCGTGAGTAAAAAAGAGTAAGGTACAATACGGTGACTACCGTGACATCTCCCCTTTTAATATTGAAGAAAAAGGAAAACCCCAAAATGGATTAAAGATTATCGGCTTCGAGTCTCTCAAAGGGGAATGTTCTAACTTTAACAAAATTCACACACAGAGTTCAATTGTCTTTGAAGATTCCGGGCTTGCACTTGAGAACTTTGTAACACATTTCAATAAAGTTCTTTGGTATTTCATAATATCCACATTTCAAATTGTCTTTGTCACATTCATAGAACAGCATAGCGTCCCGATAACGAACTTGAGAAAATAAATTACTTCGAACAGGTAAGTCTACACAACTGTTGGGTAATCAGCAAAGAATAAACACAAAGTAAAATTTGTCATCGAAAGGATACGACTGGGTCGCAAGAACATCAGTCCGGGTAACGAGCGGGTCTCCTGACCACTCGTCCACTTCGTGTAGTTATTGGAGCTGGACTGGCTGGAACGGCTGCTAGCTGAGGTGATGGTGGTGTGACATCAGGCTCCACCGACTGGACAGCTGGTGGCGGAGGTAAGGGAACGGACATTGGAGTAGGCTCTGGGGTGGCAACAGGTGAAGAAGGCATGGAAGGAGGGTCGACGTAGGGCTTCAGGTGTTTGCGGTTCCGGCGGTAAGCCCTATCCCCAGACTGTATGATGTAAGACCTCGGTGCACACCGTTCTTTGACAACCGCAGGGCCACGCCACTCCTTGTCGTTCTCCAGCTTCTGCAGGACGAGCTGACCAGGATTCAGCTCCGGGAGGTTCTGGGCTCTGTGACGTCTGTCAAAAGCTTGTTTGTACTTACGCTTCGACTCAGCGTCTCTGGCTGCAATCTTCGCCCTGTCGTAGACCTGCTGGTTCAGGTTTGACGGTAGAGTTGGCAGGGTCGTCCTCAGGCGTCGCCCAAGAGCAAGTTCCGCTGGGCTCGCCCACGTCGGTGACACCGGTGTAGACCTGTAGATCAGGAGTGCGAGAAATGGGTCGTCCTGACTCAGGGCTTTCTTCGCTTCCTCGACTGCTCTCTCCGACCCGCCGTTGCTCTGGGGAAAATGAGGACTGCTGGTCGTGTGTTTAAATCCCCAGCCCTTGGCGAACTTGTGGAAACGGTCTGACACAAACTGAGGACCGTTGTCAGTCACCAGTAGTTCTGGAATGCCAAACCGAGCGAAGACGTTTTTCAGTTTGTACACGACAGTCTCTGAGGTGGTGTCTGGCATGTAGGCCACCTCCAAGTACCGTGAAAAGTAGTCCACGAGTACCAGGTAGTTATGTCCCTTGTAGTTGCAGAGGTCAGCACCAACCATCTGGAACGGCCGCTCAGGTAGAGCTGTCGGGGTTAGAGGTTCGCTTGGTTGTGCTGGACGTTTCCGCTGGCAATGGTCGCATCTTGAGACGACTTCCCGTATCTCGGAGCTGAGACCAGGCCACCAAATGGAAGATTTGGCCCGTTCTCGACACTTCGACACTCCAAGGTGACCGTCGTGGATCCTGCTGAGCATCTCTCCTCGCATTGCCTTGGGGATTACGATGCGGTTACCTCTGACGAGTAGTCCATGGACTTCGCTCAGTTCACTGGAAACTGCGTAGAGGTCGCGAGCTTCGGACCTGACGTTCTGTATGAATTTCGGCCAACCGCTTCTAGTGTACTGTATCGCAGCACTGATCGCTGGATCCTGTTGAGACTTGTTTCTGATTTCGTCAAGTTTGCTATCCGTGGCATCCCATGACTTTTGGATTGTAGCGGCATGAGCCTCGATTTCTTCACCAAATTCTTCAGGCTCGGTGCTCACTACTGGACTTCGGGACAAGGAGTCTGCGACAGTCATGTTTTTCCCTTGGGTGTATACTGCCTTTCCGCTGTAGCGCATCATCCTCATCAGCATTCGTTGGCAGCGGACAGGTGCATCATTCAGTTCTTTAGAGTTGATCAGGGGAACAATGGGCTTGTAGTCGGTGAGCAGTGTGAATGACGGCAGACCGATGAGGTAGCGATCGAACTTTTCGCACGCCCAGATGGCCGCCAACAGTTCCTTTTCAATATGAGCGTAGTTCTTCTCCGCCCTTGATAAAGTTCTGGAACAGTAGGCCACTGGCTGAAGATCACCCCGGTCTTCCTGGAGGAGAACTCCTCCCAGTCCGTAGCTGCTTGCATCGGCGCTTACAGTGACAGGCTTCCTCATATCAAAGAAGGCGAGTGTTGGAGCTGACGACAATGAAGGCAGATGACTGCGCTGGAGTCCAGGCCCACTCAGCATCATGATTCAGAAGATCGGTGAGCGGCTTCATGACTGTTGACAGATTTGGCACAAACCTGCCCAAATAGTTCACCATGCCGAGCACTCGTCGTAAGTCTGTAATGTTCTCTGGCTCTGGCATCTCAGTGATGGCACTGACCTTGGATGGATCTGGCCTTACACCCTTCCCGCTGATGATGTGGCCAAGAAAATCGATTTCATCCTTGTCAAACTTGCACTTGGATTTGTTCAACCTGACCCCACGCTCCTTTAGCCGCTGGAAGACTTTCTTCTTCAGCTTATCATGTTTCTCCTGACCATCCGTGTGCAGGAGGATGTCGTCCATAAAGCACTCTACACCGTCTATGCCCGCTAGAATGTCTTGCATCGTACGCTGAAATATCTCAGGCGCAGAGGTCATTCCAAAACAAAGACGTCTGTAGAAGTACCGACCGAACGGGGTAATGAAAGTGGTCAGCTTCGCGGAGTCGTCGTCCAGTGCCAACTGCCAAAAGGATGAAGTTGCATCAAGCTTGCTGAACTTGTTTGATCGGCTGAGTTTATACAATATGTCGTCTATCACTATGGTGGGCAGCATGAATCGTTCACGCTTCACCGATAGGTTGAGCTTTTTCAGATCTGTGCAGATTCTAACACTACCAGACCTTTTTCTGACCGGGACCATGGGTGCACACCAATCAGTTGGAGCGCTGGTCTTCTCAATGACACCTGCGGCCTCCATACGGTCTAGTTCAGCTTTGACTTCGTCCATGAGTGGAATGGGAATCCGACGTGCGACGTTCACGGAGTATGGCTGTGCATCTTATTTCAAGATGATTTTCACTGGCTCGCAGCGCATAGGTTTAGGTCCCACATCGCCGAACACGAGGTTGGCAGAGTCTATTCTGTCTCGAGAAATCAGTCCCAGACGAACTGCGGCGTCGCGACTGAGAAGACAGTCGGTGTCGTCGTCAAGGACGAAAACACGGAACGCAAAGTTGCGATTGTTATGCAGCGTAGTTGCGATAAATTATCCCACGCTCCTTATGACGCCACCAGGACTGCGAAGAACTGCAGACGTTGTTTTCAGCTTTGGACGAGGACTGAGACGGTTGTAGACGGCCTTCGACATTATCGAAACATCGGCCCCTGTGTCTATCTTGAAGGATGTAGCTCTCCCTCCAAGGTTCAGTGTAACGCACCATGGTGGCTCGCTAACTTCGCCGAAGTTTACATCGGTAACGACATTACTGTCCGAGTCTCTGTCAACAGCACCTAAAAAGAACGAAGGAGTTTCCGATTCTGTGATTTCGTTGACATTGCGGCTACTGCTGCTGCTGCTGCTGCTGCGACAGACTGCTGCGAAGTGATTGCGCTTGCCGCATTTCCTGCATGTTTTCCCACGCGCTGGGCAATTGTTTTGGGCATGACCTCTTCCACAGTTACCGCAGTTAGAGAAAGTTGACGGTGATGCATGGCTGCCTCTGTGTTGTGAGTGTGTACCTGTTCTTCGGCCTGGGGTGAGCAGGCGACGAATATCCTCTCTGGCCGTAGCGCACTGAATCTACTGTGACTGCTGCACCTAGCTGACGTTGGCTACTGACCTGACCCTTTACGAGCTCGAAATGACGTGCTGTTTCGATGGCTGATTTCAAAGTAAGTGTTGCCTCGAGTTGTAAGCGCTGTGACAGTTCATTGTCCAGTACTCCTAGGACGAGTCTATCCCTTATGGTTTCATCTCGGTCCTTAAAGTCTGCATGTTCGGAAAGTTCGTACAGGGCTCTAACATATTCTTCTATCGTCTCCCCACTGTTTTGTGCTCGTGCATGGAACTTTGCTCTTTCGTGGATAAGATTCCGCTTGGGGACAAAGTGAGCGTCGAAATTCTCTAAGACAGTGTCAAAGTTATCCCTAGGATCGTTACCTTCGACGGGAGCAGGGAACGTGAACGTGTTAAATATCTGTTCAGCTTGGCGTCCCATAGCGTAAATTAATGAACTTACTTGAATTGCTCCGGTCTCTGCGCTCAGTTTGGTGGCTGTGCGGTATCGTAGCATACGCTGTCGCCACTCGGGCCACTCGTGAGGTTTCGAAAAATCAAACGGCTCAGGAGGCTTGAAATGAGGCATTCTGACACTTGTGACACGTTATCCACTGACTTCTGACACCATGTAATGTTAGTCTACACACACGACTGTAAAACTGGAGAGACGAACACACACGACAGCAAGCATTCTAATAATGAGCCCGGGTGTAGTGTCTGACTTTTTATGTAGATCCCCGAAGTGAGTAACATTAACCAAGAGCCCATGGCATACGGGGCGCTTACGTCCCGTGAGTAAAAAAGAGTAAGGTACAATACGGTGACTACCGTGACACAGAGCATCCGCCAACTCCCCATTCTTTTTGCTCAAACAAACAAACAAACAATCAACAGCAAGAAGCAGATAGCTCAGCGTATGAAATAGAGTGAACAAAGCCAAAATAGAGTGAACAAAGCCAAAATAGACTTTTTCTTTCATCATATTTATTTTCATAAATTTTAGTTTTGACCAAAAATGTTATAATATTAACAACAATAATAATCAATATAATGAAAACATTATTACAGAACCAAACAGTAATAACTTGATAAAGAAATATCAATAATAAAAATAAAACTAACGATAACAATGATAATGATGACAATAACAATAACAATAATAATGATAATAATCATGAATCACGCTGAGCAAATGTCGAAATAGTCTTTGTAACTTGACGGAGTAAAAAAAAAAAAGCCGCCAGCAAACACCGCTGCGACACCTCGACAAACGTTAACAAAACGAGACACCCCCATCAGTGTTTCCAGGCGGCCAGACTAAATCATAAGGGGGAGGGGGGGGGTAAAAAAAAAAAAAAGGAACATTTCATGAAGAGCAAAGTAGTAATATGAAACAACAATGTCTGGACAGTTGGCAAAGTGGACACATTTTTCTAATAATATGTCTGATCAGTTCAGAAAGCACAGGTACAATCAGAAGAGAACTTTACACGTGTTACGGGCTTCATTCACATCCTTATGTATGTACAGGTATGTATATCATCTCATAGAAAACATGGCCTCTTGCAAGCGCACGTACGCACACAAACACTCACACACAAGCGCACGCACACACACACACTTCCCTGCAAACAGCTGATCAGCACACAAACACTCACACACAAGCGCACGCACACACACACACTTCACTGCAAACAGCTGATTAGCACACAAACACTCACACACAAGCGCACGCACACACACACACACACTTCACTGCAAACAGCTGATCAGCACACAAACACTCACACACAAGCGCACGCACACACCCACACTTCAATTCACTGCACACAGCTGATCCAACTCCAACTTATTCTCCATCATCTGGCTTCAACAACATGTGGGACTTTTCATCATCAACAACATTATAACACCATAGTATGTTAAGGCAGTCATAGTTTTTTATCCATTATTATAAATCAGCCAACAATATTCCAACGTTATTATCATTATTATTTTTTTTGGGGGGAGGGGTGTTTGTTAAACGGAGCACAGCATATTTCGACTTATTTCACGAAACAAGTACCGTGAAGGACAACAGTGATCAACACAACGAGTAGCTCCTCGCAGGCTACAATAGTCTCCGAGACAAATTTTTATAAAAATTTCATTAGTTGAACGATGATGTTCCCCAATCCCTCAAACTCTGCTCACAATCAAGAAAACAAAACCCCCAAACAAATCCTCCTAATATTCAAACCAAACGATAATGGCAGACTTCAGATTTAGAGAGGGAAAAAAAACCATAATCATCCAAACAAAAAATGATAATGGAAAGGCTTCAAAATTCAAGAAACTAAAACAAAGTAGTCTTGACTTTAAAAAAAAAGAAGAAATTACAAAGCTTCCGCGGAAAAAATTAGCTTACTTCATTACTTCGTAGCATGATTTTGTATATATGAATACATAATATGTATGTAGTTCCTTTTGGCTGCAACAGCATTACATACAGGACTACAACTAAAACTGAAACATACACAAGAAAAAAACAACCAACCAACAACCCATGTCTCACTTTCACCTGTAACTGTAACAGCACGCAGCTCTTCATCATCTGAGCTTACACGTAACAACAACCAACTACTCCTGCTTCACTCACAAGCCACAACACTCCAAAAAACCCCGCTCAAACACCGCCCAACAAACACCGCACGAACTCGCTACAGAACGGTGAAGTAAATCTACACCACAACAGTGGAAACCGACAGGCACTGAGGCAAAAAAGTTATTAAAAAAAATAATTAAAAAAAACAAATGGGAAAAAAAAGCAAAAACTTCCTCTTGGCTAGAAAAAAGTAATAAAATCCCTCAATGAAGAGATGCTGCGGGTGTTAAAGAAGACAAAAGTGTTTATCTTAGCAAGTGGTAAATGACCTGAGCAGACGGGTCCCCGACCATACAACAAGAATATTATGCTCCGGGAACAACAAGTACGG